ACTGCGGTTTGCGTCCCAGACCCAGTGGCTTAAACTCACGCCAGGTGCTTGTGCATGCGTGCCCAAAATCCCGAGAGGAGAATGGAGGAGAAGGGATTGCGATTGCGGTATGGCCATCCCCCCTGGGGGGTGATTTCTCTCTTTCTATCTCTCTGTCTCTGTGTGTCTGGCGAGCGCACACGCCCTATAGCAAATAAAACCTCTCCAAAAAAAACAAAAACAAAACCAAAAAACCCCAAAAAAACAAAACTGAGTGTTACTAGGTTAATTTATACCTAAACGAACAGGAGGAACCATAGCTTCCTGTGCTCATTTTTTGGAATTAAAAAATTCTAGTAAAGGGGCCAGCAGGTGGCGTGGTTAAGGGCGCTGGACTCCCACATGGCTGACTGTGGTTTGAGTCCCAGACCTGATGGCTTGCTTTCTCACTTTCTCTCTCTCTCTCTCACTCACTCACTCATTCACTATGTCCCTTTCTGGTCAAATTAAAATAAATTAAAAAAAAATAAGTTCAATAAAAATAATTCTTAAAAAAAAAAAGATTCTAGTAAAAAAAGGACTAGCTGGTGGTGTGATAATGGTTAAGGTGCTGGACACTCCCTCATGGCCAACCACAATTCGAGTCTTGTACCTGGTGGGTTTCTTTCTTTCTTTCCCTCTCTCTCTCGCTCTGGTCAAATTAAAATAAATGAAAGAATAAATAAAATTAAATAAACAATTTTTCAAAAAAAATCTATTCTAATAAAATGAAGGTTCTTCCTCTTTACTTTAGGAGGAAGAAGCTCTTCTTTCTGAGATGGATGTCACAGGCCAGGCCTTTGAAGACATGCAGGAGCAAAATATCCGTTTGATGCAGCAGTTACGGGAGAAGGATGATGCAAATTTCAAGCTCATGTCAGAGCGAATCAAGTCCAATCAGATCCATAAGTTACTTAAAGAAGAGAAGGAGGAGCTGGCAGACCAAGTTTTGACTCTGAAAACTCAGGTATTTAGGATGAATAGAGCTTTCCATTCTTTTGAAGTAGTGTGCTTTCTACATGGAAGTACATGTAGAATGATTATTGTGGCATTTTTATATAATTTAAAAACCCTGAAAACCATGTGTTCATAATTAGAGAACCAGTAAATATTAGCAGATCATACATCTCTATGGAGGAGTACAATGTAATGGTTAAAACAAATATGGATCTATCTTCTGATATGGAAAAAATACCTAAAATATATCAAGCGATTCATTTTAAAATCTCTTGTGTTAAGGTGTGTATTTGTGTGTGCCATGTATTTGAAAAATTTCTCGAAGGCTGCATGAGAAATTCTGAGAATAGTTATCTCTGGATGGTGGGATACGTTTGAGAGTTGAGGTGGTAGGCATATAAATATTTTTTACTTCTTAATATTGTTTGATTCTACTTTATGCATTAATTTTGGGGAAAAGACTACTTTAGAACCTCTAGCCATTTTGAAAGAAATAGACTTTTGTTTGAGCCATAATTTATATGTTCTAGAATGAATTGCCAGGTTTTGAAGATTAGAATGACTGCTGAAGATCATATTTGTATTGTAATTTCCTCTCTTCTGGCAATTTGGAGAATTTTTCAGTGGCTTTCTAGACTCTTTCTGAATCTTCATCATATTTCACTTAAAAGTGAAGATTTTAATGATCATAATCTTGCATATATTTTAAAGGTTCATGTAAAATCAGTAGTAGTTTAAGATTTCTAACTATTACGAGACTCTGGATTAACAGCGTTCTCAGTTTTTATTGACTCTTTCTTTCTGTTTGTGTTAAAATGGGATTCTCTTTTTCAAGGTTGATGCACAGTTACAGGTCGTAAGGAAACTAGAAGAGAAGGAGCATCTGTTACAGAGCAACATCGGCACAGGGGAGAAGGAGCTGGGTCTTAGGACTCAAGCCTTAGAGATGAATAAACGCAAGGTATGATTGATTACTCTGTAATCTACAGTGACAGTCTCAGAGGAACAAGCATGACACTGATGAAATTGTAGGTTTACTTTTATACCAGCTTATATCTCTCTTATTTTCTATTCCTTTACTATATTACTATTACTTTATTTTTTTTAACTTGGGTTAACATTTTGCCCCATTAAAAATAAGAGTGATAAGGGGACCAGCAGTTAGTGTAATGGCTGTGTCACTGGACTCCCGCGTAGTCGATTGCGGTTCGTGTCCCGGACCTGGTGGCTTAAAACTCATGCCAGGCATGTGTGCGTGCGTGCCCAAGATCCCAAGAGGAGAACGGAGGAGAAGGGATTGCGGTGTGGCCATCCTCCCTGGGGGGTGATTTCTTGCTTTCTGTCTCTCTGTCTCTCTCTGTCTGGTGAGCGCACGTGCCCTAGTGCAAAAACCTCTCCCCCCCAAAAAATAAAATAAGGGTGATAAGATGTTATTTGTACATCGTGCTCAGGCGATGGAGGCAGCCCAGCTTGCAGATGACCTCAAAGCACAACTGGAGATGGCTCAGAAAAAACTACACGATTTTCAGGATGAGATCGTGGAGAACAGTGTCACCAAAGAAAAGGACATGTTCAATTTCAAACGAGCCCAGGTATGGGCGATTTTCTTTACATTTCATCTTTTAGGTGTTTTTTGAGGTCTGAAGTGACCCAGATGATGAGTCATTAGTCTAGTGTGTGTCATTGCCTATTAGACTGTAAGATTCTTGAGAGAAGACCCCGAGTGTGTTTTCTTCACTGCTGTTGGGTTGTTGGGAAAGTTATGATGCATTTTTGCATAGAAAAACATAGAAAAATACGTCATGACTGTACCAACAACCTAATATATTGCCAAGCCTATTGTGAAGCCTAGCAGCTTGAAGTAAGAATTTATTACATGAGTGAATTTGTGCCATGTTATAGGTATAGAAGCATAAACAACATTAAGGGATTTTAAAGTTTTCCTACAGTTTCTGTATTTTGTCTTGTCAGGTATTGCTAATGATACCTTTTTATCCTTATCTGTATGTTTGTAAATTGTTGGTTTAGTTTAAAATTAGTTACTGTAAAACAGAGTGGCCTGCCCTTTAAATTCTTAGATTGCATTTTCACAGGGCTGAGGTGGGAGTAGTTAGATGCAGCTCTAGTTTGGGACTAGGTTATAGTTGCCTGTTCTAAAACAAAAGAAAATGTCCTGTCATTTGTACTTCTCTACATTCCTAAAGAGAACTGGACTTAAAATGACAGAAAGTCCTTTTTTACACAGTGAAAGTTCAAGTTAGAGAAATTATTTTTCTCAAAAATAATGGGTCTAGAGAAGTGTGTCTAACAGGTATGCTATTTTATAACAGGAGGACATCTCTAGACTTCGAAGGAAGCTGGAAACCACAAAGAAACCAGATAATGTGCCCAAATGTGATGAGATTCTAATGGAGGAGATTAAGGATTATAAGGTGAGAAAAACTGCCTTGGTGATTTTTTTGTGTGAGTGTATGTGTGTGTTTCTGTGTAGGCCTGAAATGGCCTACTAATAGTTGGGGAGAATAAATACTGAAGTTCTTTAAATGAAGGTACCTAGAGAATGTTTTAATATTTGGGGCCTTGGGAAGATGGTACTCTTGACTAGGTACTTTGTGGGTTTGCTTATATATGAGAGCCATCTGGATCAGGACCCTTTATGGTTGCTCAAACTGTCTTTCTTTTTTTCAGGCACGCTTGACCTGTCCATGCTGCAACATGCGTAAAAAGGATGCTGTACTTACCAAGTGTTTTCATGTTTTCTGCTTTGAGTGTGTGAAGACACGCTATGACACCCGCCAGCGCAAGTGTCCCAAGTGTAATGCTGCTTTCGGTGCCAATGACTTCCATCGTATCTACATTGGGTGATCGAAGATGAGAGAAGAAGAGGAATTGGCTAGACAGGCACTTATTCATTGACCACCGAACCTCTACCTCCTCTCTCCTTAACTGTCACCCACAGGACAGTTTTGACTTGTCAACTACCTTGCCCCACAGACTTTATGTCCAGGCTCCTGTCTCTAATAGCTAGATGGCCTTAGGGGGAAAGAACTGGTAAATGTGAGTCTTGAGTTTTAGAATGAATTAGAAACAAACAATCTTCCCTGCCGGCTTTGTTTATTTTCTGTCTCTTTCCAACATAATCTTCTTCAGACCAACTGTATAATCTTGGATTGTCCATTCCTCTTGAAGAAGTCAAGTTGGTATTTTTAATATTGAGAAGGGAACAAAGAGTAGAAACCTGGCTATTTTGGGGGAGTGATCTTTTAGAAATAAGCTATTTATGGGCACATACTTTTCGTATTTTGTGTAGTAAACTTTTTGTAACCTTGGATTATAAAATGGTACAATTGTGCTATTCTTTCCTAGATGGTTTGAAGCCTTAATGAAATTATATCCAGGATGATTTAATCCATTTCCATTTACTAGCAAAGTAACTTGTTAAGATCAGCTGGCTTCCTTGTTAAAGTTATTTAAATTTTGAATGTTCATCTACTTTAAAGCCTTTAAATTTCTTGAGGCCAGAATAATCTCAAATAATATAGCCCTTTTGTCTTCTAATGAAATCAAGATGGGAAAGATGGTAGAATAGGACTAAGAAGATGAAGAAGTCTTCTGGGTACTCAGAACCTGATATAGAGAGGCCTGGGTGAGTTATGAATTACTCTCATTTTCCTCTCCACAGGGATTGTTGTAATTCCTGGTTTCCAGAAGATTCTCTGTAATGGTTCTGCAGGACTTTATATTCCACAAACTTCAATTAAAAGCAGGATTCAATTTGCTTTTGTGTTTGTGGTTTTTCTTTCAGCCTTTTGTCTTTGCTATTACTGGTTGATTTTCTGCCTCCTGTTCTAGAATTCTCTTGAATGGAAATAGCTCAGATTAAGAGGCTGGCTGTGTTTGAAGTATTTAATTATTTTTCTTCCCATCATTTTATTGAGTCTATTCTGAGAAGAGATTTTGCCTGAAAGGTGATAGCTTGTTTGACTATCTAGTTCTCTTCTGTTATCCCTGTGGAGGTAAGAGATTGTGCCTTGTTTTCCAGGGAGTATAATATTCTGCCTGGTATTTTAGAAAGAAAGTTCTTGGATTGTAAGATTTATAGTAACCAGCAAACCAGAGGTTTTCTATATCTCTGATAAAGAGTGATGTAAAATGGTTCTCTCTTGATCACCACCTGTCCTAGAAGAGGGTTAAAGACAAATTCCATTTTTTTTACTTTTTTGGTGGTTAACTGACAGTAATCATAATTTGAGATGAATTTCTCAGTCATGTTGTATGGATTAAGAAATGAGTCTAATTGTGGGAATCTTAGAAGGTCATGAAGAGAGGTCATGGGACACCACTACCCTGATCTCCTGCCCAACACACACACACACACACACACACAACACACACACACACACACACACACACACACACAGCCATACTGGGATTAGTCCTTACTCCTGGACACAATGAGTTTTCATTCAATAATAGGACACTTTTTCTTTGTTTTTCACTTTTCTTTCTTTTTTTTATTTTTTTTTGGAGAGGTTTTTGCTATAGGACACATACGTTCGCCAGAGAGACAGAGAGACAGAAAGCGAGGAATCCACCCCCCAGGGGGTATGGCCACGCTGCAATCCCTTCTCTGTTCTCCTCTCGGGATCCTGGGCATACATGCACATGTGTCTAGCATGAGTTTAAGCCACCACCGGGTCTGGGACTCGAACCATGGTCAACTACATGGGAGTCCAGCAGCATAGCCAGCTGCTGGTCCCTGTTTTTCACTTTTCTTACAGGGTTAGCTTGAACATAACTTTGTCGTTTGACTATTTTCGGCAAATAGGCTACTTGGGCAGAAGGTGGTTGGGACTTGGATGTTAGCTGTTTATGACGATTGGCTTGGAAAGCCATCTGCTTACCACCAGAGGATGTGGAGTAGACTATGGGGGAAGAAACCACTAGTCCCATGGGATGCTGGATTTCTGGAAAGCTCCTCTGATTGAGCAGAGCAGGAAGCCTGGTCTCAACTAGTTTGAGGTCCAGCCAGTATAAGGTGAGCTTTTCAACTCATTTCCAGATAATGACTTAAAAACAGTGATGATTTTTTTTTTTTTTTAATCATAGTTTCTCTCACTACAGAAGAGGTCAATGATTGGGCTTCAGGAATATACTCAAAGTGCATACCAGGTTTCATTTTTGTAGTATATGCATTATTTGTAGCCTTTTTCAGATATTTAAAGGAATTTTGAAACTTCACTAATTGCAAATAAATTAGAAATCATAGCTATAGATCTATAGAAACTTTAAAGAGTGTTTTTATTTTTTATTTATTTTTTATTAATTTTATTAATGTCTCTAAAATGCTTATTTCAGTGACTACTGTAGAAGTACTGGAGGCCTCTTCAAAAAAACAATTTTTTTTTTTCAGGTGACTTAGGTGGTGTGGAGGTTAAGGTGCTGGATTCCACATGGCAGACTCTATGGTTTGAGTCCCAGATCTAGTGGCTTGAAAAGTACGGCGGGTGCATGTGCATGTGTGCCCAAAATCCCAAGAGGAGGATGGAGGAGAAGGGATTGTTTAGCCATGCCTCCTGGGGAATACTTTGTCACTTTCCTTCTCTCTGTGTTCCTGTCTCTCTCCAGGAGCCCACATACCCTATGGCAAAAATATTAAAAAGAAAAAAAAAAAGTAATTACTATAGGGATTTTTTTTTTTCCCCCAAAAGTATTGAGCCGTTTCTGCTGGCTCTTGCATTCTCACAGGAATTTCCTTTGTGATTCCTTTTTTCTCATTCTCTGTCCTGATCCACAGGCATCCTTGTTCTTCAGTGGTAGGTGTTCTGTGCACGTGGAACCATGTGCATGGCACTAGACTGATGAGTATGATTTGATACTGTGAAGGTTCAGGACAATGAAATGATTGTCCAGATTGGTGATGCTTGTTCTTACAGTAGCTATATATGCTGCTCTCACTTAGTCCCATTGTCATTTCCTGATTGTGAAATGCCTTTAAACTTTGCTCTTTAAGTCTTTTTTTTTTTCCTGAAGACTGTCGATTGATAAATCCAAGTCCCAGTGGGTGTGTAGAACAATTATGACTAGTAATTATCACAAAAGTCTATCTACCTTACAGACTTATAATAAGATAGCCACACTGAGAGTAAGTAGAAAATCGATGAATTATATGTATGTTGAATTGTGCTTATGCAATAGGAAACCCCTAGCATGGAAATACTTAAGTGTTTTTTTTTCTAAATCTTAAAGTTCAGGAATATTTTTAAATTGTCTGATGACAAAAATAGAGTGTTGCCTTCTGGAGACTTCTTTTCTAGTTTGATCTCTTCCTAATGTTAGCTACTAAGGTCTTATTTATAGCATACATCACAGTTACTAAAATTAGGATATGGAAAGCGCAATGTCTTAGTAGTCAAACTCCCAGTACTTAGCAGATGTACCTAGTACTCAGTAAAGATTTCATGAATAAATTAATTCAGCCCCATGCATCTGCTTTCAGATCTTTAGGAGTCTGCTTTATTGGGCCAAAGTGTGAATTCAACCTTTTCCACCTTCTAAATGGAAACAATCATTCCTCATACATTGAAGTAACTCCTTAAATTTGGATTATCCAGAAGTGTGTGACTGCATTTTTCATTTCTTTTGTGGTGATAACAAAAAGAATTTGGAATTTTGAAATTTAGTACCTCTCAAGAAGCAGCCTGCATAGATGAGGCTTCTCTTATTATAGGTTAATGGTTTTTTTTTTTTTTTTTTTTTTTAAGAGAACTTTTTGTTTTTTTTGTTTTTTTTTTTTTTTTTTTGAGAGAGAAGTTGTGGAAAAAATTGGGACCATAATATGTTCACATTAATAATGTACTTCAAAGATTTCAATTTACTGAACCTTAAAGAGCTGAATGATTTAGAAGATAGGAAGTAAGTGCTGAAAGGGACCTCAGACCATTGTCCTTATTTTAGAGATGAAGAAATAGGTCTGGGAGTCACTCAGGTTTTTTGGGTTTTTGTTTTTAGTTTTTGCTTTAGAGTACATGCGTTCACCAGAGGGAGACAGAGAAACAGAAAACAAAAGTGAGAAATTATCCCCCAGGGAGGATGCCATGACATAATCCATTCTCGGGATTTTGGACACACACGCACACATGTCCAGCATGATTTTCAAGCTGCCAGGTCCAGGAATTGAATTGCAGTAGGCCATGTGGAAGTCCAGTGCCCCAACCACTGCACCGCCTCTGGCCCCAAGGGTCACTCAGCTTAACCACAGAATTGAAATATGTCTATCAGACATTTATTGTTCTTCTTTTTATTCTAAGTGAAGACTTGGATCTATAGAATGCTTGGCATCAGTGAGATAATGAAAATATTTTGAGTCCCTTTGAAGTATTTTTGAAGACTTGTATGAACCTAGTATATTTATAATATCCTTGGTAATTCTAATCTAGACTGCTGTTTGTCAGATCCTGGATTAGGGCCACATATGAGTGTTCCTATAGTACTTTGTTGTGGAATAGAATTGAATCAGAGGGATCTGTCCCTACTTTCCCAATCCTGTTTTGCATTTGAGTACTTATTGTGACTCCAGGCACTGTGTTAAATTTATTTCTTACAAAGTCGGACTTCTTGGGTTTGGCTCTGCCACTTACTAGCAAGTTACTTTATCTCTAGATACTTTGCACACACACACACACTCGCTAAGTGTCGTCTTTGTTCCCATAGCACTCTTTGTATTTTTTTAACTGGAGTATATATCACATTGTGTTGCCAATTTGTGTCCCCTCATTAGACTGAGCTCCATGGGGTCAGAATCTGTTCTTTTTATCTTTCCAGCTCCAGCAGCTAGCTCAATGCCTGGCTCAGAATAGGCAGCCAAAAAAACAAATGCATGAATGATGCAAAACATCCTTGGATAAGTTGGCAGTTGAGTTAGGTTATAGTGCGTTTATATTTTTATGAGATTTGCCTTGGTTCTGTTCCAAAGCAATGTATATGAAGAATGTATCAGGGTAGCAGATTCACAAAGGCAAGGTTGCCGGCAGCTAAAACTGCCTATATCATCGGAAAGTGCCAACATGTCTGAGACAGCAGCACTGCTGAATGATTTGCAACTGTGTTCATGTCAGTTCTTGGTAGGCTAGAAAGCAGAAAGAAAAGATGCTGAAACACTATTTTTGTGGGACACAGGGGCTATGATGCCCAGTGAAAAGGACCAATACAAGTACAGTTACCTTGTCAGTTTCCCTCTCTGTTTTGAAGTATTAGGGGTCAGGCTGAGGCAGGGACATGGGCGGGTGGGGGGGGGGGGGGGGAGCAAGAATAAAGAAACACTACAGAGGAGTAAGAAGGAAGAAGAGGAAGTTGTAAAGCAATGATCAGAGTCCTGACAGTGTTGTATAGTTGCACTTTGTGTGACCCTCTGCTATTGCTGATAATAGCAGTGCAACTTTGGGCAAGTTAATTTCTTATGACCCTTGGTTTTTTTCCATCTCTTGGGCTGTGGGAAAAACCATGATGGGGAACCAGCAGTTAGCGTAATGGCTATGTCGCTGGACTCCCACGTAGCCGACCGCGGTTTGTGTCCCAGACCCGGTGGCTTAAAACTCACGCCGGGCGCGTGTGCGTGCGTGCGTGCCCAAGATCCCGAGAGGAGAATGGAGGAGAAGGGATTGCGGCGTGACCATCCCCCCTGGGGGGGGATTTCTCGCTTTCTGTCTCTATGTCTCTCTCTGTCTGTCTGGCGAGCGCACGCGCCCTACAGTGAAAATCTCTCAAAAAAAAAAAAAAACAAAAACCATGATACATTTTTTGCATAGAAAAACAACAAAAAAATACATCTTGACTTTTCTGACAATCCCATATAAGCTGGAGTTCTGGTTTGCCTACTCTAGACTACATCTTGAGTTACTCATGGCATGGGGTTATTAAGATTCAGTGAGATTGCAGTTTATAGTAAGCACCCAGAATACTAGCTATCGTGAATAGGGTCATCTGATTATAGACTGTGAAAAGCTCAGATTGTGAGAAAGGTCTCTGACATTAAAGACTATACCCATCTTGCTCACCGTTATGTTTCTAGCACTTGGCACATATGTGGAAACTGTTTAATAAAAGTTTGTCGATTTACTAAATGAGGGTGATCAGGGCAGAAATTTTAGAGATCTCTGCCTATTGTGCTTTTCTCTAGAATGTTGCTCTCAAATGAAGCCATTTCTGCTTCACAAAGCTACTTCATGTTGCCTGGGCTCTGAGTGTTCTCACTTGTGCTCCTACTTTACACAGCAAAAGTCATAGCATTAGTGGATCTCCTGTTAGGAAGGAGTGGGTATCATGTCAATTGGGTCACCAAGGGCAATGCCAATAGTACATCCAAAAGTGAAGTTTCTATCTGAACATTTATTCCACAGTCATAGAAACTGAAGATGGAAAAGACCTGAGGACATCTAGTCCATCCACGTGGTTGTACAAGAAAGTGGCTGGAGCAAAACAGCCTGTTCACTTCATGCTCACAAGACAGCGTTTCAGTTCTTCCTGGAGCGGAGCAATTGCAAACACATTAAAATGAAGACACAATGCAAATACTTTTCACAGACCTTAAGAAAATACTTAATAGTACATTATTTTCATAAAATGATTAGTAACGAAACTAAAAGGAATGGGTGAGTACTGGATTAGATGGGTGGTCTAGGAGGGTGAAGAAAGGAATAACTAAACACTGCCGATAGTACAGTGGTTTTAGTGACTTGAAAGCAATTTCTTTTGAGACTGGTTAGATTTTCTGGTTTGCCTACAAAAATATGACTTGGGAGGAAAGGAGGCTCTAAAGTCATTTCTTTCCCCTTCATTCTTTATCCACACCAAGGAAATGCTTAACTTGCTCCAAGGCAGTTGTACACCCAGCACCAACACTGAGAAGTCTGTTACCCTGATGATTAGCTCTCTTCTGCTTGACACTTGCTCCACTTACCACTTCTCTGCATGGAAGGGAAGCAGCGGCTCCTGTGTAGGGTTTGTGCAGCAACAGGATTCATGAGAAATAGAGTCACCTTCAGGAACATAAAGACCTTGACTGGACCTTGAGGCTGCCTCACTTGGATGTCTCAGTCATTCCTCCAACCTGTTTTTAGTTGGTAGAAGAATCCCTTTGTCTACCTTGAGACATGCAACACTCTGGGGCCCTCATTCTTATTTACATGAGCCAAATAGCGGTATGTGTTCTAGCTCAGCCTAGCTTAACTGAGTGCCTGGACCAGGAGTTTCCCCCTTGGAATATAGGGTTGGGGTATGTGACACAGTCTGTCATATTCCAGATTTCCAGCACGAGAGGTTGGAAAAGAATCCTGATCTGATGAAATGGGAACCCACAAGTGCAGGCCAGGCAGCTTCTTTACTAAAATACCATCCTCTGCCAGAGGGCTTTTGATCTGTCTTATTTGAGCCTGAGCGGAGTTGAGAGAAACAGGTGGAGCAGAACAGAAAGTTTTTCAAGGACCCACTATTTCATGAAATCTTTTTACAAAACATAACACACTGTCTCACAAATTGCAAAACACTGTTCAATTACTATCGATAAAAATAACCATTGCTACTTAACATGGAGACTGCTTCATTTCACCACAAGCAATTATGGTTTTTTTTCATCCTGAACATGGAGGCATCTCCAGCAGTGTAGACAGCAGTAAGACTGCCTTCAGCCGCCGCTGCATCCTGGCCACAATTTTGTCCAGGCAGTTCCTCAGCAGGTACTTGTGGAGCAGGCGCTGGTCACCTACTTTGTGGATAGGTGGGGTGGTCTGGCATGTGATCACCACTGCTCAGAATGCCTCAGTAGAGAAGCTTAAGGTAAACCCGATAATACAAAAATCCAAACTTACAAAACAGATACATTAAGGGATAATTGCGTTACAAAAGGGTTCTTTACTTTACAAAAGAATTCACCTCTGGATTCCCTTATATAGCCAGCTTCTCAAATACAGTCAGAACATGTGTTGAGTTATAAAAATGTCCGTGTACAACATTAGGAGCATGGCTGTTGTGTAAATTGAGGTACACCTGTACATCAGCCTTCTGGACTGCGGAGTTTCAGGGGTGTGCAGAGCATGATGGCAGAGACGCGACAGTGCCTTTGCTGTTGTTGATGGATGGGGATTACTAAAGGTTCTAACTTTCAAAGGCAGTGGTGAACCTACTTCTGGGCTTGGGGTAAGAACCAACAGAATGGTCCTTATCTAGTTCCAGAAATCACCTCTTCCCCTGTTGAACTGTTTCTGGTAAGTCTAACTTTAGAGCCCTCCCACCTCCCTTACCAGTGTCCCAGAGTTTACCACCACCCCAAGGTTTTCTCAGTCAAGTAATGAATTGCTAAGGTGTTATCTAATTACAGCTAAGGTATTGGCTTCCCCAGGGGAACTGGGTAGCTCTTGGTGGACATGGTATCTGAAAGTAGGAGAAATTTTATGACTGAGACACTTTCCCAATTACTGCAGCTGTTAGCACAGTGCTTGGCACAGGCCGTCATGTGAACCTACTGCAGACCCTCAAAGGTATTGGGATGGAATAACAGTACTGAGAAGATAGAGAAGTAACTGATAAACAGGAAAGTCCACTCCTACATGGTGCCCTGGAGTGGGGGTGTGAAAAGTCAATCAGCAGATGTATGCCAAAATTATTCTTTAAGAAATGACAGAAAACCAAAAGACTTTCTCTTCTCATGTCTTCCCATACCTGGGGACAGCCAAACTTCCAGAGTACTTGTTTCTCAGAGTAATTTTTGGACTGTCAGTGTTGGTTGCCGGGGATAACAATATAATTTCTGAGCTCACCTCCAGAACTCACCTCTCTAGTCTCTGGGGAAGGGTCTTAGCAATCAGCATTCTCTTGAGTTTCCTAGATGATATTTACCTACTCGAACATTTGGAACTGAAAAACTAGCATACCCCTATTGCTTTCCCTTTCTGCATGCTTAAGCAGTTGTGTGCTGGGAAAGGAAGGCCCAGGCAGAGGACAAGCTGGGTTAGTTATATCTGCCTTTTGGGGGGGGATTGGATAGGACCTGGAAGATAATCAGAAGGTCCAAAATCTGATCTTAGCTCCTCAGAGATGAGGGAATGTGAGGATGGGGGGGGGGGGGGACTTGATAATTATCTATGCAGATATGCAAAGTACAGGGCAGATTCCTGAATGCCGAAGCCTGTGATGTTCACAGGGTCAAAGTTCACTTCCGAGATTCCTATGCTAAGATACAGGTGACCGCTGATGTGAAATGGCCTCGTACGTGGTGTGCAGAACATTTCACTTAACCCACCTCACATATTCTGTAGCGGCAACAAGCAGACATATACCAGGATCATCCTAAGGCCACAACCTTTGCTTTTCTCTCCTGTTTTTTTTTTAATTTAATTTAATTTTTTTTTATTTTTACTTTTACCCCCTCTTTAAAAGGCACACACTATAGTGGAGAAGCTGGGTTAGGTTGTAAGTATAGTTCTGTTTGTTCCTTAGCCAGGTTGCATTTCTCTCCTGCAGCTTTTGTTCTAAAAGCATGATGTGTCTTTCAAATGTCTTCTGCTTGTCCCATTCCCAATCACTACATCCCTGCCCCCTTTCATAACGGTGTGTAAACAGGTACCTGCTTAGTGTTGGTCAGGGTGGAATCAGAGACCCAGAACCTTCTCCAAAATGTGGCTCTTGTCTGATCCAATCAGTCCCTGAACTGCTGTGATACTGATGAGATCTGTTAAACTTTTAAGTATCCCTCAAGCGAGGTGGGGTGGGGAAGGCTGCTCTTACCCTGCTCCCCATTCGCAATGTAGGACCAAATTTAGATTGCGTAGTTGTATCAAAAGCTTCAACCCTGGAAAATCCTGTTCTATATTAAGATTAAAACCAACAACCCAGTAAAACGGAAGTATGACCAACAGTTTTATCTCTTGTTGATAGTGCAGAGAAAGGGCTAAAAACCAGAAATTATTCCTGTGGCACCTGGTGAAAAGGTTAACAGGAGCTGGGGCTGCCTGGTTATTCACAGATCTCTTCCATGGAGCTTACTCCTAACTAATTTTAAGATTTACCCTATGAAAAAGACTCCTACCCTGGTGACCTAGAGAGTAGTGAACTTGGGAAGAGCTGCGGCTGCATTTTAGGCTAGAGAGGACAGACCTGACCTCTGAAAAGACCTGGACCTTAGCCTCCACACACTGTGCCAATGGTTACAAAAGAGCATTACAAAGTGTCTCAAGGGCTCAGCAGAATGCCCAGAACTGAGAAAGGGGAGCAGTGTGATCACTTAGGACTCACAGGTCCGATTCGTCCTTTGATACTCTTCCAGCTCTGTTTTCCTGCTCACAGCCAGCTGAAGCTCCTGCCGGATCACTTGAATCTGCTTCTCAAGCTCTGAGAGTTCCTGCATCACTGAGGTCCGAGCTACATTTAGGGGGTCTGCTTTTCCATTGGTGGTCAGTGAGGCTGGGAGCTCTCTTCTTGGAGGAAGAGGGATGTCCTGGTGGGTTCGAATACCCAGCTGGTTTTGTCCCCCCTCATCACTAAAGATGTATTTTCGTCGGTTGTCATGACTCAGATTGGAAGTATTCCACACGGTGAACTGACTGGGTCTCATGTTGGACCTAGGAAACAGAGACATTGTAGATTCACCCTTCATTCTACAGCTCTCAAAGAGATTGACTAAATGGCTAATGGATCCATTAGCCATTTCCATTAGCCATTTCCTGTGCAAATAATAGGGAGCTGGTATACCTTTAGCGATGGAGTAACAAAGCCACAGATAGACTGCCTACTAGAGGGTCATGGGGACAACCAGAGTCATGAACTTTCAACTGAAGTTCAAGGTCTTATCAAATTCTGTACTACTCTGAAACTAAAATAGGAGGAGTTGATGGAAACAGGAGATGTGAAACATCCTTTTTTTAAAAAATATTATTACCAGAATGTACATTTACTCATTAGAGAGAGACACAGAGGGAGAGAGAGTAGGAGAGGGAGAAATCACTCCCAAATGGGCATGGTCATGCCACAATCCCTTGTCCATTTCTGTATCCATTGGGATGGGGAGGCATGCATGCATATGGCACCTGACATGTTTTTCAAGCTGCCAGGCCTGGGATGCAAACTGTGGTCGACCATGTGGAATCCTGCTTCCTTAACTACTAGGCAATGGACCCAGCCCATGATACGGCAAATCCTTTGTGAGAAATCTTAGGTGCCTTTTTATTTCTGCATACAGTTGAGGTTCAGAACACATCATTGCCTTGAAATATGGTTCTTAGTAGAAATGGAAACCTCTTTACTCAGATGTTGGACTCTTAAGCATTGATATGCTGATAATAATATGGCTCACAATATGACTCATCCCGAGTCCTACAGCACCACTTTGCCACTTGCTACTGGATTTGAGGAGAATAAAAACAAACAAGCCACAGGTTCAGCAAAGTGTTTCCTACTATAGGAACTTTATGTAGATTGAAAATGACAAGTTTGATACTTTAAAAAAATTTTTAAAATCCCAAGAATGCCCTCAGGTTCTTGCTGGGATAATGACAGTCAAATAGAATCTGATTTGCAGTGCTCTTTCAGGCTTGCATTATACCACCTGCCACCATCCTGGAGAGATGACTGCAGACACCCAGAGAGTTATTACTAGATAGGCACAAGAGGAGGGTGATCTTGTTTCTGAAATACACTTTGGCCGTCAGATACAATGAGAAGTTTCTTGCTGCAAGAACAGATTAGTGCCCTAAGGAGTATAAAGCTGATTTCTTCTACCTGAGAGGAAGAGGAGGCGGGGGGAAAGGAGGATTATGACTGCTTTTGCAATCTACCACAGGGCAAAACAAAATAGAAACACCCTACTAAGTCCTTGTGTTTTAGTTTATTTTAGTTCCTACCATGTAACTGAATTGACTTTATTCCTGGATTCCTACTTGTCAAGAGGAGCAGAGGGGGCCTGGAGGAGGAAGGGGGAAAGAAGAATAATAAAGTTATATGAATAATAAAGTTTTGATTCAGTTATATGGTTAAGAACAACTTGCTTTGCCCTGTGGTTGATTGCAAAAGTAGCCACAATCCTATCTTCCTTTCATCCATGAACCTCTGCAATGGCACTCTGTAGCTCATTTCTGTCAGGGTGTAGAATCTGCTTTCTGTTCCCTTGAATTAGAGTTGCTTGCATAACTTATTTTGGCCAAGTGGCAGAGATGGCAGGGGGTGCAGTTCCAAGCCTAAGTTTTTTTTAATTATTATTTTCATTTATTTTATACATTCAGTCACTATACATCACTGTAGCTTATAAAGTGAATTTACCCAATATGAATATACTTCACACCAGTCTAGTTATAATATCATATACATTATCATCAACATTCACCCATTTCTGTGTTCCTTAAATGTCTTGCCTCGCTAACTTTCTCCGTGATTCTTTTCCTCTCATTCTCCTCCATCTCCCACCCTCTTTTCATTTTCCATACTTTTATATCTCTAATATTTCTGATTCTGCTATAGAGTATGGACAGTCAGTATATATGCAGTGAAGACATATAATGTCTCTCTTACATAGCCTGGCTTGGTTCACTTAGCAGTAAATCTTCTGTATTTGTCCATGTTCTATCAAATGCTAGGGTCTTATTTTTTGTTTACCTAAGTTTTTATGAGCTCTTGCACACTTACACTCTGTCTCAGAAGCCTGCTGCTACAATGTGAACAAACCCAGACTAGCCTGTAGGGTGATAGGTCTCATGCAGAAAGACTCCATCCTTTCAAATTTGACATGGGGCAAGGCCATAACAGACCACACAGCCCTTCCCTATTTTCTTCCTCTCTCAAAGCTGGCTGTAGATTTGGAGCAAACCCAACGAAAATCAGCTGAGTCTGGCTCAGATCAGCCAACTGCACAGCTGACCCATAGATTAGGAAGCAATTTGCTATACATTAAGTATCAGCATGATTTTTCACACAACAAAAAAATACATGCCCAAGCCATTATAACACAAAAACACAATCCAAAACACTTGAAATTCTTTGACATTTCTTATACCTTAGATCTCCATAAATGAGCAGAGGGTACCAGAGCTGAGTTTTCCTATGTCTGAGACTGAATAAAAGTTCACTAATGTGAATCTACTTATAGCATCACTGGGTTTAGAATTAAGGCAGATGATGCAATTATGATGTCCAGCCTTATGGTTCCCTTTAATTTTTCCTTTAAATATTTGCCTATTGAGTTGAATAATTTAAAAGCAGTCTTGTTTGTGGCATCTGTTAAATAGTTTTCAATTTTGTGTGTGTGTGTGTGTCTCGGGGCAAGAGAAAAGGGGAAGTGGGATTGTGTTGGGACTCAGTGAGGTAAAAATATAGACCCAAAGTTACTTGAAATCACATGTTGAATAAACTAAAGAATATATACATATAAATACTCTCTTTCTATATCCATTTTTTCTCCCTCTGTGCTAAATAAAAAAGGAGCGACACTTGCTTTCTTATCATGGCCCACAATTTGTCCAAGCCTTTCCTCATTCATTTACCTATTCCTTTTTTTATCCAGTAAGTATGGAACACAGGGGAGGATGCCAAGTTGTAGCAGACATGGACATGTGTATAGATCTTCTCCTAGGAGAAGGGAGAGGGGTGTTTTCAAGCCAGCAGATCTAACAGGAAGATCTACAGTTAGGAAATTCTGAGAGCAGAGCAACTGCGCATTTCTTTGGACTGCCCAGGCAACCGCAGTGATTGGATAAGCAGAGATATCTAGTCCTGTGTCCTCCAGAGCTGTATATATCTATCTGAGCATATGATATAGAAGAATGAACAAAAGCTGGACTCTGACATACTCTAGTTATTACATCACAAGTGCTCCAATAAGTGATGTGTGGCTCTGGGCCACCTATAATGCAATGTGATAGATGTCAAATATGAGATTCCATGTGTAATTGGAAGAAAAAACTTTGTTATAGTTCTTGGCTATGACAAAGACTATGTTTAAGTTGTACTTTCCTCAGTTTTAGGGTGTAAAGTGACCAATGAGCAAACTATTTAATATTAAAAGTGAATCAAGCTTCCACAGAGCAATTACATATAACATTGAGATTCAATACGCCACCAGACCGTTCAGAAGAGACACGACACCTGTGGGACCCCAAGCGTTCATTGTGTTTGAAAGGCTGTAGGTGTTGAACTGTAGGGAAGTGAGTATAAGGAAATGTGGTTCCAAAGTAAGACATGAGAGCATGTGTCTCCTTAGCACTTTCTCAAAATAAGGGGCTTTGCCAAGAAAAGCAGATACATTGAATGAAAAGTCACAATTTCTTTCTGTTTCTATTATAGAAGAAAAACATGTTTTGTCATTGAGAGATGATACTTTTGCCACTATGTCTTCTTGTGTTCCTCCAGTTAAACATTTATATTAAAAATAATGATAGAAAAAGTGTATGTAACATGATATGGAACAGCTGTGACCTGACTGCGACGGGGTGGGGGCGTGCTCATTGACTGCAAAGAGAAGCTTTAAGGAGTCACGGAAATGATTCTGACAAGCTAGATACAAATTAGAGAGAAGGGACTGCAGCAGTTCCAGAAGAAACACAAACAGTGAAAAAATGTTTCCCGCCTCTTGTTGTTCAGTTCTGAACAGAAGGAGTGTCAGATCTTAAATTTACCCAGAAAACCAAGCTGAAGATATGTCACAGATCAAAGAATTGTTTGCAGCTGATGCCCTCATGGGACGCCTCCGGGCTTAGGAGAGAACCGAGAGGGCTGCCTCAGGGAGCAGGTAACAGAAGCCACCAGGAACTGGACCCAAATGCTTCTGACATTTCTTAGTCACCAGAAACAAGACAGCAGTCACCCACAGGTTGGCTGAGGTGAAGGTGTGGAGTTTTGCTTTTCAAATGTCATTGATAGTCTTAAGACTCCCTACTTCCTATTAACGAGATGTTCTTTTCTAGGGAGTTTGTAGAAGACTGCCAGGAAATGGATTAGGCAGGGCATTAACTGTCACATATTTCAAATGCTTCTAGGAGTTCTGGAAAGAGGCGGGGAGTGGAATCATGTCAAAAAGACAATATTGCATGGAATTAATTGCCTATAGTACTTATGAATTAAGTCTTATGTGCATTTTATGCATAATGACAGCTAATATTTACTAGGCATTTGCTTTGTTTACAGGGCTTTAGGAAATAGGTGCTGTTTCTTATCTCAAATTCACAGATGGGGCACAGAGAGGTTAAATAAATATTAACTCGCTCAAGGTCACACATATTGTAAATGTTAGAGACAGGATTTAGGTCCAGATGCTCAACTCTAGAGCCCACACCTGCACTTTTTTCGTTTTGTTTTGTTTTTAGAATTATTTATTTAATTCCATTTGTTATTATTATTTTTTAAGTTTACTAGACAGAGACAGAAAGAGAGAGAGAGAGAGAAAGAGAAAGAGAAAGTGAGAAAGCAAGCCACCAGGTCCAGGACTCGAACCAAGGTTGGCCATGTGGGAATCCAGCGCCTTTACCCACCATACCACCTGTCGGCCCCCCACACCTGCACAATTAACCATGACGGTATAATTCCGATAATGTATTTTGGTGTGTGTATGTTTGTTTTATCTGTCTCGGAAATCACATATATTTATATTGATTTTATTTATCAACAAATTGTCCTTATTTGATCTGAATAAGTATTTGCACATACTTCCCCTTTTGAGAATGGAGTCTTAGTTATCTCTATAATTTTATTTTAGCAAATATAAAGATAGTTGGTGGGCCAGCCCATGGCCTGATGGTTAAGGTGACTGGATCCCGCATGGAATAGCATGATTTGAATCTTTGACCTGGAGGCTTGAGAGACATATTGGGCACATGTCGTGCATGCCCAAAATCCTGAAAGGAGGGAAATATGGAGAAGAGATTGTGGCATGACCACGCCCCACGAGGGGTGGTTTCTCATTTTCCTTCTCTCTCTGGTGAGCATGTGTACCCTCTGGCAAAATGAAAAAAAAAAATAAAGCTGGCATTAACATCTTACCTCTTTTCCACACGTTTTGTCTTGAAACACTGCTGCTTTTCCTCTGCAAATGATGTGTTCAGTGCTCTATGTAGTCTCTGGAGGGAAGAACCGGTTCACAGGTAGAGGTCATTAGAAACACAAAGTACTGCTGGAGTAATGGTGTATCTAGTTGCTACAAACTTTGGCTCTTTAAACAAATTTCCAGGCTTATCTGAAAATAAATCAACATTCAGACCCAAATCTCAAGAGAATAAGAATTCTAATTTTAGATTATTATTAGTTCCCCCTAAGGGGGAAAAAGTGATCTGATTGAAAGCTTAGAAATGCTTTGGATTGTAAAATGGTATGTGATTTAAGAAAGAATACCATGACTAATGTGTAGCTAAGGGTCTTGTACTGTTGCTAAAAATGAGATAAAAAAACTTAAGCCTGAGCTTGTTGGCAACCAAAATAAAGAAGGGAAGAAGGACTCTTGAGAATTAGAACTAATCATATTAGCGGGTAATAGATCAGGAGCTTGATGGAGGCATGGTGGTGAAGCATGAACCCCGGGAGGCTAACCTCCATGGGAAGGTTCCAGCTTTGCCTTTGGAGATCTCCCTGAGTACACCAGGCATGAGCATGCGTAGCCCACGGTTAGAGGTTGATTGAATTGGGGGTGGATCACTGCATCGGGATCCTCTTAGGGGTGCTCTGTCTCTCACTCATGGAAGAAATAAATAAATGAACTTAGAACAAGAACAACGGAAGGTAAGCTGTCTTATAGTTAAGATAAAACATAGTTCTCCCAGGAGACCAAATGCTTCCCAGGATGAACGTAGGAAGAACAGGGCTCAACTGTAACCAAGCCAATGATAGAAACCTATCTAGGAAAAAAAAAAAATAGTTGTGTGGACACGGCAGGAGGTCAGCATGAGCATGGATGAGTGGGGCAGAAGGGGCAGAATTGACAGCCTGATAGCTGAAAGGTGAACCACAGTGTACTGGGAGGTGGGAGGGATCCCAGTGTTGGGGAGGCCAGGATGGCTCATTCTCTCTACTCGCAGTTAAATGCAACTGTTCCCTTTGCCAGAGTTCTCCATCATTAAGAAGTCTTCTACATATATGTATATGTTGGCTCTCCACGTCAATTTCCTTCAGGTATAGATGTAAGAGGCTAGTCTGCCCAATAGTTTCAGTTCTCCCTGTAAATCAGTGTCCTGTGTCTGGATTACACAAGAGAACTGTGATGCTGTGAAGCTTGACCTTGACACCAATAGGTCTCAACCCTCTGGACTAAAGAAAAAGCAAAGAGAACAGGAACAGTGAGGTCAAAGGAAAACATGGACCTCAGACTCACTTAATAGGTTTCTATTTTGGCAAGAAAATAATCTGTAGAAACAGATCTTTCATACCATGTCTTCGAATTACCATTATTAAAATGAAACCTGGTTAAAAAACAGTTCTATTGGGACCAGCAGTTAGCGTAATGGCTATGTTGCTGAACTCCCATGTAGCTGACTGCGGTTTGAGTCCCGGACCCGGTGGCTTAAACTCACGCCGGGTGCGTGTGCGTGCGTGCCCAAGATCCCAAGAGGAGAATGGAGGAGAAGAGATTGCAGTGTGGCCATCCCCCCTGGGGGTGATTTCTCACTTTCTGTCTCTCTCTCTCTCTCTGTCTTTCTGGCGAGTGCCGGAGCCCTACAGCAGAAACCTCTACAAAAAATAAAACAAACAAACAAACAAACGCCAACAAAAACCCAGTTCTATTGCTTCCATTATGGGCAGCAGTGGAGGGTTACAGGAAAGGAAAGGAGAGCTGTGGGATAGCTTAATTTAAGGGGAAAGTGAATTAACGGGCTAGAGGGCATTCTGTCTTCTGTACTATGTGCCTCTACCACCCTCGTTTTCTTGGTAGCTGAGTGTCTGTCAGGCTGACACAGGGCTGTGGATCCTTTTTCTGGGGAATGGTGTAGGCATATTGGAGTGAGACACCTGTAGCCCTCACCTGACTGGTGTGGAGCCAGTACTGCAGCTTGGATCTGTTTTTGATTCGTGGTAGCAGCAACCGGTACACGATGTGCTCGCCAATGGTTGTCAGGATGGACAGGCCAAATCCAATGCACAGCAGCACGAAGAGTCCAGAGAAGTGTTTGATGCCCATTTGCAAAGTCTGCGATGGGACAGGAAAGAAAACGCCATGAATGTGATGACCCAAGTCATCCAAATGTTGCTAACTCTTGTTTTTTTTAGACACAGATGGTTTTTTTCTGGACCCAGGGGGAGCTGGTATTTCTCCCTGTGTGCTCTGTGCACTTGGCTGTGATATACTGTGAGAGCAGTTTGGTGCTAAGTCAGGGCTACTGTGCAGCATGATTCCTGGGGTGCTAGTTGCATGTAAACCTCTTGGTACAATGGTCTCTGGAATCGTGCAAAGGCTCAGGGTCTGGACCATTCTACATGCTCCTAGGTAGACAAAGAATTAAAACAATTTAATATACTTAAGCATTGGGTAGTTATCAAGGAGAGAACCTCTCTCAGGGACAGAGAATGAATAGAATAAATGTAATAAATTGGAGGGGAAAAGATGATGAGTTCAGTCATTTTGGAATTTAGATCTGGCAGGTGACAAGGAGAACACCTACTTCAATGTCCTCATTTTACAGATAAGAACATTGAGACCAGAGAGGTGCAGTAAATTGAACCAGGCCACAAAGTAGGCAGCCATAGAGAAGAAAGCAAAGCAACCTCATGTTATTTATTAGCTGCTTACTTTTTGCCATGTGTTTTGTGGCAAGATAGATACTATACTCTCTATAATTAAGGCAACTACACTAGCTTATAATTCCATTTCTGTTTAACTTCAAAGCCTGAGCTGTTTCTGCTGTAACAAAATAGCAGCAGTTACAACAACAGTACACTGACTGTACGTGGCTGACACTTTGCTAAGTGATTTACTTCTGTTATCTGAGAAAACCCTCACATGTACTCTGAAATAGACATTATATCGTCATTGACAAGGATGGCAAAACTCAATCCTACGGAAGGAAAAACATTCAATATATTGGGTGTCTATTACGTACCAGGCACTCTTCTCAGTACCAGGAGTTGGAGTCAGGAAGAAGTTATGCCCCTCCCTTTAAGCAACTGGAGTCTAGGGAGAAAGCCAACATGTCTACCCCATGATGTATTTGGTCCATGTTTTCTGGGTTCTATGGAGAAGCTGGTTTATAAGATTTGATTGAGAGAGACTAGGGACATTGGGTGGGGAAAGTGAACACACTACATTGAGTGGTATACTCAAAAGAACAGTTTGTTCTGTTCTGGGAAGTGATGTAGGTGATTGTGAAATAGACTGTGGTGGCTCACAAGAGGGTGGATGACATGCATGATACTATGGCTTGAATGTATTTGTCCCTCTAAAAGTCCTATGTCGGAATGTAAGCCCCTAGGTGATGCTATTAAGAGGTGGGACCCTCGGGAACCAGCAGTTAGCGTAATGGCTATGTCGCTGGACTCCCATGTAGTCGACCGAGGTTTGTGTCCCGGACCCGGTGGCTTAAAACTCACGCCGGGCGTGTGTGTGTGCGTGTCCAAGATCCCGAGAGGAGAATGGAGGAGAAGGGATTGCGGTGTGACCATCCCCTCTGGGGGGTGATTTCTCGCTTTCTGTCTCTATGTTTCTCTCTGTCTGTCTGGCGAGTGCACGCGCCCTATAGCAAAAATCTCTCCAAAAAAAAAAAAAAAAGAGGTGGGACCTTCAGGAGCTGGTTAGAGCAGCTCTCCACTGTCATGGAGAGATGAGCGCTCTTATGAAAGGGCCACATGAGGACATATTGTTTGTTCCCTGCAAAGGATACAGCAACAAGGTGTAAGCTCAGAAGCAGAGACTACCCTTTCAGCAGACACCAAAACTGCCAATGCCTTGGTCTTGAACTTTCAGCTCCCAGAACTGTGAGAAATACATTTTTTAAGAGAGTTTTTTTTCTTACTATGGGACATGTGTGCTTGCTGGAGAGAGAGAGAGAGAGAGAGAGAGAGAGAGAGAGAGAGAGAGAGAAAACACCCCACAAGGGAATCGCCATCCCAACACAATCCCTTCTCCTCCATTCTCCTCTTGAGACTTTGGGCATGCACACACATGTGCCCAGCATGTTTTAAGCTGTTGGGTCCAGGACTTGAGCCACAGTTGACTATGTGGGAGTCCAGCAATGTAATCATTACACCATCTGCTGGTCCCAAATTTCTGTTTTTTTTTCTTTTCTTTTAATTACCCAGTCTCAGGACCAGCAGTTAGCGTAATGGCTATGTCGCTGGACTACCATGTAGTCAACTGCGGTTTGAGTGTCAGACCCAGTGGCTTAAAACTGTTTTTTTTTCTTTTCTTTTAATTACCCAGTCTCAGGACCAGCAGTTAGCGTAATGGCTATGTCGCTGGACTACCATGTAGTCAACTGCGGTTTGAGTGTCAGACCCAGTGGCTTAAAACTCATGCCAGGTGAGTGTGTGTGCATGCCCAGGATCCCGAGAGGAGAATGGAGGAGAAGGGATTGTGGCATGGCCATCCCCCCTGGGGGGTGATTTTTCGCTTTCTATCTCTTTGTCTCTGTCTGTCTGGCGAGCGCACGCTCCCTATAGCAAAAACCTCTCCCCCGCAAAAAAAAAAAAAAAAAAAAAAAAACCCCCCCAAAAAAAAAAAAAAAAAAAAAAAAAAAATTACCCAGTCTCAGGTATTTTGTTATAGCAGCAGAAAGGGACTAAGACATGTAGTGAGGGAGAAACAGCCACTGTATGTAAGTCCTCAGATGCCATGCAAAGGAACATGGGTGTTATCCCCTGGCTGGAGGCTTTCTGTCATCACTATCACTGGTAATTATTTAGCACTTAACATGTCAAAGTCACAGTGCTGAGCCCTTTATCAGTGTTACAACTTACCTATTTTTAATAGTAATCTATAAGGTGGGTACTGCTACTATCTCCATTTTACAGATAAGACACTTACCAGAAAAAAATCAATAACTTGCTCAAGGGCACATATCTAGCAAGGATTAGAGCTGTCCTTTAAACCCAAGTGGTCTGTCTCCAGAGCCCATGGTCTTCAGTGCCTCATTTGTCTAATACAAAGGAGTTTTCCTTTATTATTTCTCCCATCTCTATCCACCCTGATCCTGAAGCAACAGCCAGACTATCATGGTTCAGGCACTGGGTATGTTAGGAGGTTTATCTGGGGGTTAGGATTCAGAGTCAGAGCTCAGAGAATTCAAGTTTTGGAGGAGGCGGGATTGTGGAATCTCTTTTCTGCTGTGCTAGTACTTCGTGCAGTGGCTATGATCAAAGACCAGTGTTAGGATCCTTGGAGAAGGAAAGACTGAGAAGTGTTTTAGGACATGCACCAGCTCTAGGAGACAGAGCAACTGGGCAGATGACCTGGGCATGCAGGCAGAGGTCCAGCTTCAGGGAACAAGTAATGAGTTGGATGGGAAGGTACATTGGACTCTACGAGCTACATGGGTACTGAATTTTTCCTGGAACATTTCTGTATAAGTGATGACCTGTTGTATAAACTTGACCTCTAGAAAGTACATACAAATCTGTTTGAAAAAGCCTTTGACCTGGACCTACTATAATGTATACAGGATATGACTATCATGGAAGGATTCAGGGATATTATTGTGAATGAAGAACAAACCGAGAAAATTCATTCTGAACCTTAACACTGACACCATTGAACATCCAGTAAAATGAAACAGGCAGGCATTGCTTGCTTATAGCCACTGCCAAGATGAGGAAGAGAAGTGTAACTCACAGGGAGTATGCTTTAATCCTGCCTTTATTTTTATTTATTTATTTATTTATTGAGAGGTTTTTGCTATAGGGCACGTGCGCTTGCCAGACAGACAGAGAGAGACAGAGAAACAGAAAGCGAGAAATTACCCCCCAGAGGGGTTGGTCACGCTGCAATCCCCTCTCCTCCATTCTCCTCTCGGGATCTTGGGCACTCACGCACACGTGCCTGGCATGAGTTCTAAGCCACCGGGTCCGGGACGTGAACCGCGGTCGACTACGTGGGAGTCCAGTGACATAGCCATTATGCTAACTGCTGGTTCCCTAATCCTGCCTTTAAACACATGACTTTCCCTCTGTTTCCTTGCACATAACAATAATTAGTCTCATTTTCCTCTGATTACTTCCATAACAACAGGCTATATTAAGCTTACACGATGTTTTTTTTTGTTTTTCCTCTAAATGTCCTTTATTTATACCCACACACTAACAGACTAATAGTGATTTTTCTTTGAGGGGGGGAGAGGTTTGTTTGCTACAGGGTGTGTGTGCTTGCCAGAAAGAGAGAGAGACAGAGAGACAGAAAGTGAGAAATCACCACCCCCACCCCATCCCCCGGGGGATGGCCATGCTGCAATCTCTTCTCCTTCATTCTCCTCTTGGGATCTTGGGGACACATGCACACATGCCCGGCATGAATTTAAGCCACCAGGTCTGGAACTTTAACCGCAGTCGACTACATGAAAGTCCAGTAACATAGCCATTACACCATCTGCTGGTCCCTAATAGTGACTTTTTAAAAAGATGGGCATTTAATGTGACACCATATATGCATATTGATCTTATAATAATCCTGTAAATGGAGTACTATTGTCCCTATTTTACATTTGAGAAAAAAGATGTTTAGAGATGAATTACTTTACCCAAGACCATATATGCTAATAAGCAGGAAAGAGAGGTTGCCAATCCAAGACTGTCTGCTGCCAAAGCCTAAACCACTTCTCAAGAAAACACTTACAGGTATCCCTCGCTATCTGAATTTGCATTGTCTGTTCACTACAACAAACATCACATTTTCTTTTTTATTCAAAACTCACCATTAGAACTGAAAACCCACTGTCCTCTTCCTATGAACACCAAAGAAAATGTATAAATTGCATCAGAGTCAAAGTGATAAGATGTCCAGCTGCAGTTGTAATTCAGCTGTTCTTTCCC